AAAGTCGAAATAAGGAGTTACCTCAATTTTATATTAAAATGATTTGCTAAGCCTTAAGAGTAGACCGCCATCCCCTTTTAACGTCGCTTTGTGATCACAATAAATGTTGTTGTGAGCTTGCGTTATTAGATATTTTATATAATGGGATATGGTACGGTGCTCTTCATAATTAACGCCGCCACTCGGTTAACCGAATATTCACCTATAGCCGGCTACTCAAAGCAAAAGTGGTCACTGCAGCAGCTGGAATCTCTTCATCGTGCTAGGTTGTAATCGGGGATCAAATAACACCACGTAGTTATACCAGTAGGGCCAGGAGTATAACAAAAAGTGACCAAAATGGACCATCTCATAATGGCGTTAAGCTTGGGGAACACTGCACTTCCCCAAACGCTATGCAAACTTTTTTTTTTTTTGAAATAAAAAAGTAAAGATGAAAACAATTAAACGACTTCAGCTGCTTATCATGCATTGCGAAGCGGTAGTTTGAGAATTTTGCTATATAGGTCCTTTGGCACGTAAGTAATAATATATTTGTCCCTAATGCCACAGTATCCCGGCTAATACTTTAAGAAGGTAATATTTAAAAACTGTTAATTTTCCTTACTCAATTTAGGAAAGTAATTTTAATTGCAATTTTTTATTTTAATTTTAGAGTAAACAAGTCGGACGTGCGTATGAAGATCTTTATATATATTATACATAACGTGCTTAATTATTTGTTAACTTGAAGTCAACCAACACTGTGAGTCAGTGCCAAGAAATAATTAACAATCCGGCAGAAACAAATGGCTACGACCTACCTTCACATTTTAAAATAGAACTTCAAATATATTGAATTTTCGCAAGTAAAACTTTATTTGTTCAAATCATATATTACATCTGATTTTTATTGAATGTTTTAGACCATCCCGAGGGATGGTCTAAACATGTTCTATATTTTCATGCGAAAATATAGAACATATTTAAAAGTGACCTTTTTGAGAAAATTGATGTTGAAATAGAACTTAGAGTTCCCTCTCGAATTAAAATGCGCTTTTCGTCAAGATGACATTATTTGATGATATTGATATTCTACTTATTGAACAGGTATCTGTCTAAGCTTTCATTTTATATTTAATTAATGGGATCAAAGACAGTTGCAAAAGTTATCATAATCCAAACCTGGTAAATTATCGTCAAAAAAGTCATAATTATAATATTAAAAAAAACGATTATAAATATATTGCGCGTTTGATATAGTTAAAAAGGCCGTGTAAAATATTTCTTTGTTGTGCGGAAGGTATCTGACCTGGAGAAGCTCCCTTAATACGCAACCTGTGACGATCGCTCAAGTCACAAAATCCGTCTTCTGTCCTTTAGACGTAAAAAAACTCGAAAACTAAGAATACGTTGCAAAAATAGATTTCAGTTTCGTTTTATAATAATTTGCCCAGCATACATATTTTTTTTTCAAAAGTTGTTGAGACAAGATTCCTTTTTCCTGCGCGATTTTAAACCAAACCCCCCCCCCCCCCCCCCCCCCAATTCGTTACATGTATAGACGCATGGTGAGATCCGCGCTCCAGAATTAAATATGAGATGTTAATATGTACACTATAGCCAGTCGATTGAATAATTTAAGTTAATTGAATCTTTAGTGAGACCTGATAAAATCTACGTTTAATTTTGGTTAAGTCTCACTGATTGTTGTGAATTCCAGAAATCTAAGTAATTGTAAATGTTCACACTATAGCCTGTTGACTAAATCATTTGAGTGAACTGAATTTTTAGTGAAACATAATAAAATCTACATTCACTGATTGTCGTGAATTCCTGAAATCTATAGTAATTGTTTATAGTATTTATTCCTTAACACCTACATATACCCTTATTTTGTATCGTTAGTTTTAATTCGAATACTGTATTTATTCAGGTTGTTTATTCTGCTACTTTTAAGGGAGTCAGAGACTTGCCAAGCAACATCCGAGTTGCTTGTTTTTTCCTCCTGAAATGGTATACACAGGTATACTTTGAACTAGAAGTTTAAGTAAAAAATCACACTATAATTTTGGGCATCATAGTGAAGTGTTAAGACAAGCAGGCATGGCACAAGACACGTCTTGCCATGAAAGAGGCTAACTGTTTGACGTTCAACCTGGAGTTTTTTAAATGCTTATTTGTTTGTGCTATGAAGGATATAAAATGGTAGTCAGATGTTTGAAAGTAGGGAAGTATGTGCCGAAACACGGCAAAACGTTGTGAAGTCGCCACTTCTGCAACGTCTACTTCCGAAAAGAACGAGTCGTGTGCTAAGCGGCAACTGTTGACAGCCGTAAGAATTTACGTGCATGTTCCAGTGAAGTGCACTGAGACAAGCATAAGGTATAGGTGCATTGGTCTCATCATAGCTCCAGCCCTATGTTCGACATTATATGTTAACAATTAACAACAAGGGCGATCGATTGAAAAAGACCTGTCAAAAACAAAACTCAGGCAGGCAAGATACCCTCATTACTATAAATACGCGCGCGAAGCATGGGATCAGCATGTCATATAAATCGTCTGAAATATGTGCGTTGTTTTATGTTCATTTGAGTTTTACACACTTTGAATTTTTACATCCGTATGGGTGCAAAAAGCGTGTTCTAGAGATTTACACCAATAACTACACCCATTAAGCACTCTGATTTCTAGTATTACACGCTCATGCGACCTCCAGAAAAAGATGCTGGACTGTGTCTGCTAAAACTTTCGTAATGTTTTTTTTTTTTTTTTAATTCAAAAAGAAGGCAAAACAATTTTATATTTATTTTAAATTGTGTTTTTCGCGAATCTCAAATGTTTATAGAACCCAAAAAGAGAATTCGTTTTATCTCCCAACGTTCTCTCTTACAAGTACATACAAATAAAATAGAATAAACCGAGGTAGCTAACTTTCTCATCAGATGTGAAACGAGCAGTAACATGTGCCATGACCAATTGTAGAGTTCGCGGCAATGTGTGTTGGCCCAGTTTAGTGTGCAGGACTTGGCCGACATGGCTGAGCACCGTGGGTGCGTCATAATAAAAATAATCACATATCACCCCAATCAAAACCATATAGCCCACCATTAGTATTTTCAACAAATCACGTGTCTGACTTCACAAGCTCGCGTGCTTGTGTTATATACTATATTTGAGCCCAATACTATTAATTTATTGCCAGTTTAGCCTGTGAGAAGTGGGCATTTCTATCGCTCAATCCAACAAGTTTTGTTGACAGAAAAAAAAAAAATCCCGTTGGCCTGCAGTTTAAAAGTATTCAGATAAGTTAGAAAGGGGAGTAAAAAACAAAACACAACAAAGGGAAGGGTTTTAAACTTCGATTTTAGAAACATACCAAACGAGTTATCGCGACAATATACATGCATAGAATATTTAACAACAAAATCCGCGATTTTACGGATTTCCAAGATTGACGGAAACTTTTAATATTTATTTCAGTAACCGGGCGGGATCGGCAGTACTAAGTCAAGGAAGAGCAGAAAACGAAGCGAGTGTGTGTGATTAGTGCGGAACTAAAATAGAAAACTACTCCGCTGGTTCAGAAATTTATATTTTTCAGATTGAAAAGGAAAGGGAAAAAATCGCGTAGCAAACGTTTTTTCCAGCTTTCCGTACGAATTCAGCCTATATTTCAGCGTGGGCGTAAAAGGATGCGATATTAACAGACTTTATGCGCGTTGAGACATACAGACATAGAAAAAAATACAAGAAGCTTAATGGTTCTTAAATTTGTTGATATTATTTTATATGCGTTCTGTCTTCATGGTTTAGTTCATTTGCAAAAGTTAAACAATTAGCCGAATTAGCCCGTCTGACGCGAGTATAAGCAACGCCTCAGAGTAACGACACTTACCCATATTCTGGCTTAAAATCATGGTTGCCAGTTATCTGAAGCTTTATTTGAAAACACAGGAAACGCTTTTCCGTTGTCCACGAGTTTTTAAACAATTCGCGACAGAGCAAAGCTATATTGCGTGAGCTTCCTAAGGCCGAATCTAATGCTGGGGAAGTCGCACATTTGAATAATGACGACCAGCAATTGCGTCTGCTCTGCGCAAGCCCCAAGATGGCGGGACCCACAACAATATGGGGAACAGGGTGCCGATACTCTAAGTGTAGCTCATTTAGTGGTACTACTATTAATGCCAGCTCGTTCTTAGCATGCGATCTGAACAGCGCCCGCTAATATGGCGTCTAGTGCCACTAAACAAGCTACATTTCAGAGTAACGACACTTTCCCATCTTGGGGCTTAAAGCATATGGTTGTCAGTTAACTAAAGCTTTATATGAAATCACAGGAAATGCTTTTCCGTCCTGTACAAATGTTTAAACAGCTCGCGACAAAGCGAAACAATATTACACGAGTTTCCCAGTGGTGGATCCAAGGCCCCCCCCCCCAAACAAAGTCGACCCCCCTCCCTCCCCCCTTCTGGGAGGGCATTCTGACATGGGTGGACCCCCCGTGCACAAGAAAGAATGGGAAAATAGTATCCTTAAAAATTTTTCGCCCCCCTCCCCCCCCCCCCAAAAAAAAACAAAAAAAAAAAAACAAAAAAAAACGGAGTTCTGGGTCCGCTTCTGGAGTTTCTTAACACTGAATCTGTAGTTGAGGAAGTAACACTTTCGAATCACGACGATCGGCAATTTCGCCAGCTGTGTACTAAGAACAGAGATGACGGCGCCCACAACAGTATTGGGGAACAGAGTGCTGATACTCTAAGCGTAGCCGTTTAGTGGCTCTAGTGGCGTCCAGTGAATACCCCTACTGAAAGGCAACCTCACTGTGCCTTCCGACCTGAGCCCTGAATGACTTCTTCGCCAAGAAAGACACATTTACACCGTGATTGCAGCGAGATAGACGATGCGCGAAGCGTGCGTAATGATCGTGGGTGTGACATACGAAATAAGAAGCCTCTATCTATCTCAATATGTAACACACACACACATACACACAAAAAAAAAAGCCAACTTACTTCGGTCTCTCGTGCGGCCACTGCTCCTGGTACTTCTGGATTGATGCGTTGATGGCTGGTGATGCAGCTGCGACTGCTGCTGAAGTTGGTGTTGGGGTTGCGGCTGCACCTGCTGCGGCTGCTGTGGCTGCTGCTGTTGCAGTGTTTGAGGTAAGGCGTAGCTCACATCCCTGATCACGTAAGACGCCTGCTGCCCAGGCGACGATATCACTGTGTGGTGCGCGTACGCGGCCGTCCTCTGACCCGCGTCAAGAGTTGGATACACCTCGTCAGGCACTTCACCGTCGACTAAGACACGGGCCCCCTTTAGTTTATCTCCCTGAGACTCGTCCTGCAAGAGCCGCACAGAGTACCCACCGCCGTGCGCCAGCAAGTACGGTGGCGGCTGGTCCTGAAAGTCCTCCGAGGGGGGTCCCTGGTTGAGCGTCATCATCCGGTAGTCATACGGCATGTGCTCCGGACAGACACCGGTCATGTCCATGTGCTGCTGGTCCATCAACTGCAGCGTGTACATGTTGGGCAATGGCTCCCGTGCACCGACGGGGACGGCCTGGGACGGAGACACGGGCCATTCTGCCCGCAGCTCGGCCAGTTCGGGTGAGCCCGCTGGGCTGCCGTCGGTAGGCTCGCCTTCTTCCGCGGGAAGCGGTACCAGGGGCTCCGGGTTGTCACAGGCCTCGTCGTCGGGGTCGTTAGCCATCGTCGAGCAGGACTCGTAGGCGACCACTTCTTCGACGACCTCGTACTTGACTTGGACAGGTGCGTTCTCGTCATCCTCCTCGTCGCCGCCGCCGCCACAACCGCCGCCGCTGCAGTCTGCTGGAGAGGGATCGGGCAGGATGGCTTGTGGCCCTCCCGAAGGCGGAGATTCACGGCTTGGAACCTTGGCAAGAAAGGAAGATTCATTATGACCATGGGCGTTTTCGTTATAGATGTCGTCCGATTATCGGGGGTGTCGTTTATGGTCTCGGAAAGGACGAGAACGGCAGGCAGTCTCTTTCGGACATCCCGTCTCCAGTAAGCGCTCGTTGCCTTCCGCCATGTTTTGCTTGCGCGTGCGCGTTCGAGGCTCCCGAGACGCCGAAGGGTTACGGAATGTAGGAAGCTCGCTCTGGAGTCAGGACAAGTGAAAGACTTCCGTGACGTTCTGACTGTGTCCGACAAGGGAACCCCAGCCAGGGCGAGGTGTACTGAGAAGTTAATAAGAACTGAAAGTATCCCATCATGGCCGCTGATTATGAAGATACAGCGTTCCGTTCGAAACCAAGAAGATGACTAGACTCGTTTGCGATGGACGCTGATGAAACACGCAATAACCCGCGAGGTTGTTCTTGATTTGTTATGACGCAGGGGTCCCAAGATGGAAGCCTTTATTAAACAGCGGATATACCAATGGCACTGGAGCGTTTTAATAGAAAAATAAAACACCAACTAATGAAAACAAGGTTCACCGGGCTTGTTTTCAAAATAGAGCGTACGATATCCCATGCATCCATCGATTTTCGTTCATTTGGCCTGTCTGGCCTTCGCAGTTTCCAGAGCACTACCAATTGCAGATAATTTGCAAGGAAGCAACGCAAAGCCTTCGGACCGAACGAATCAAACCCGAAAAAACACCGACCACGAAGTGAACAACGTGACATCAACATGAAACAGTGCACTCTGTCATACGAGTATATAAAAGATGTTATTGAACCCACTCATCTGCTAACAAAGAACCCATCCCCCTTCCCCTTATTATCAATGACCCTCTTGAACGCGATGTTCGAGCCTCCTTTAAAACAGCAGGGTGTCTCGCCACATAATGGTCAACTATGGCCATGCATCGTTGCCGTGAATTTTCTGGCGGCTTATTGTTGCCGTGGTCAGATTTCTCATGCATCATAGAAAAGAGTCTGCAGACTGATTTTAATTCGTGTCACCGGGAGATCCGCGCTTCAAATGCCGCATGGCAATGAGTTCAAGGAGAGACTTGGCACGCGGCATTCGAACTACGGATATTACGGTGACTCGTGTTGACGGGCTGTCTTCTGTACGATGTATGAGCAGTGTGACGCCGCCTTTAGTCTTTGCGTTTCCTGTAACTGCGTTCCTTGCCATTAAAAAGGTTATTTACCTTTGGTGCTAAGCTTGGACAACGCTTGACCCGCAGCGGTGACGTAGATAGGTAACAAAAGTTCGTATTGGCTGTTAAAACTCCACATCTGAGACGCGGAATTAAAAAAAAATAAAATTTAAGAAACTTTTTCCTGCCGCTATTCTGAAAGGTCAATGACCTTTTCTAGATGCTGCATTCTTGTCGTTCACAGGTCGGGTTGAGTCATTCCGCCGAGTAGTCACGTAGTCTCTCTCGGTGTTTCGTAAGAAAAGGAAATAATATAAACAAATAATCGAATGTATACAGTAAAGGTGCAATAAATCACAATTCAATCAAGATGTTCAAAGTAACTTTTAGTCGAAAGCATCTTACAAGCGCAAGGTTATGGTAATAATGGGGAACTTGTTTTGTATTCGAAATAAACACCCCCGATATTGTCGTCAGGCCAATGCGGAAGGCAAGTCGTCTGCTTCTTGCGCAGGAGTTGTGGTAACGTCAGAACGATGCCAAGCTCTGATTGGCATTGAGCGAAAGGATAGTGAGTAGACCTCAACGCTAAATGCAGTGAGGTCTACCCTCTATTGGTTTATATATATTTTTTTTCAATCAGCCAATAAGAGCTCGGCGTTCGGACATCATCGCAACCCCTGTGCAAGAAGCAGACGAACTTGCGCTCCGTATTGGAGGTAGGAAACTACCAGGGAGGTAGGAAGCTTCTGAAGGCGACATGACGCCATTGAGGGACACACAGCCAACGATGACCAAAACCAACAAACGCTATTGGACATAAAGGATTCCTGACTTTGGTTTATGCTCTGGTCACCCTTTGGTCACACTAGAGTGTATAGGTGATCCTTGGGAGGGTGGCCAAAGCAGCTGTTGGAACCTAGTCAGCTCTCCTTTTCGTCCAATAGCGTCTTTTGGTTTTGGTCATCGTTGGGGGCGTGTCCCTCAATGGCGTCATGTTGCCTTCAGAAGCTTCCACCTTCATGGTGTCCCACCGTCCGCCATAAAATCAATGGCAGTTCAGAGAAGCGGTGCAGGTTTGATGCTGAATCCCGGTGTAAATAGCATATGCAATAAAATGGGGCGTTGATTTATTAAATGTAAAAATGGAAAAACCAACTCTAATTAATAATTAAGAGCCATGTTTGCAAACGTTCACGTATTTCAAGCTATTCACGAGTATATGCTCCGTTACGCGACGCAGTGAGTATGAGATATCGGCGAAAATTCGCATTAAACAGATCACGGATTATTATCGAGTACCAAACTTTTTCTCCTAGCTGTATGCCAGACATGTGCAGCAAGATTCAGCATACCGAGTGTTTTGGCGGGAACTTTATCAACATCTGAAGAAAAACGCCAGAATCCCTTGAACCTTTCATAGTGCCGTGCTATCGTTGCAAATATATGGCCACGACGCATGTGCAGCTATCCTAAGCGTCTATCATTCGCTAATAGTTTTTTTTACAATACTTTTTTTTTTTTTGCGTTACGCTGAGAAGTGAGCTTGACACTTTTCCTGGAGCTCCGGAAGACATATGTTCCCTGCATTGTTTCATGATTTCACTTTATCGCCTCGTTCTTGCATATCCTCAAAGAAACAAAAAAAAAGCAATTTTTTTGAAACATTGCTGTGCCTAATTAAGGTATACTCCGACAACATTTGCTCATCATCACGTACTTTTTATTTGGATATGACACCGATTTAATAGTTGCTATTAGTTCGTCTGATCTTAGCTCCCCAAATTTCTACATGACAAAAAAAAAAAAAAAGAACTTTAAAAACAACGTTTGGGACCTAAAACGCTGTTACGCAATAAGCAAACAGAACAAAAACAAAACGTTTAATTACGTTTGTTCGGGAATCAGACTGGTTCAAAGATGTGGACTGTTGCGTTTTCAATTTCACTTGAGGTAGATAAGGTAGATAGGGAACCAATCGATCTTTGTCCTGCACTCCTCTGTGTTCCGTTATACTATTTTTTTTTTCATATATGAAAACGAAAACAATATCGAGCAACAGCGATGAAATCTACTGTGCTGTAACATTTCTTTTAACATCACAAATCAGTACATGCTCTGTTTTCACGGTGTAATTTGAACAAGTGTTATTCTAAACGTTCTCGCTTGTGAATGATTATAGCTACGCGCGTTCAGAAGAAAGGAGCTATGACACTTGGACCGAATGATCACGAGTTCCCGTTGCAAGCTAGTAGCACGTGGCAATACATTCTGCAGGGAGAGCGACAACTTCAGGTCAATCTAAGTGTTTATGCATTTCAGAGAGTCGTGTTTGCGAGTGACATGGATGTTATACGAGAATGATACAGAAATTAACGTCACGACTACGCCGACGCGTTCGTACATCTTTCCACGTATAACCGCAGCCCGCAGCACAGGGCAGTTGGTAAAGACGATCCACAGTGGACATAGTTCGTGGGTAAGAGATTTTCCGCAAATATGAGACACTCCCATTGTTCGTTTTCCGGGAGACGCACTTTTTATACTCTCGGAGCTTGCGCGCGTTCCTCTTTTTAGGCCTAATGATGCTTTCTTCGTAAAAGTCGCGCGCGACTCCAGACGACCGTCGAAGGAACAACGCGAACGCTCCGGTTTCTTCATCGCCATCTAACAGATGAGAACATCGGGAGTCAACGCGCTCCGTGAGGGATCTTGGAAAACATCGCGACCGACTGAGCAGGACGACGGCGGCTGCAAGGGGTTCGAGTACCGGTCCCAGCCGGTTAGGCTTAGTCGGGGAACCATTCCTCCACACCCCGGCGTCTCAAACCCGAAAAACACAAGGTCCGTGTCGGCGCGTGGGCCTCCCCCGACGTACCTGAGGATCGGGGTCTGATTTGGCATCCTGCGGTTCCACGCGGCACTTTTTGGTCGGGGGTTCCTGGGCGTCCTCGTCCATGATGGCACGAGCACAGCGGACCTGTTGCGTGAAAACCCGGGGCCTGCCAATGCGTGACGTCGGCTGCAGGCCTCGGGGCGGAGCGCGTCTCGCCAGGCTCCGCCTCCGGACAAGTCTGATAGGAGCGTCGCGTCGCTTCGGCGGCTACACGCGGACAGCGCGGTCGCGCTGCCATTGTGCCGTTCTCCTGCGCGTTGTTTCCTTCTTTTTTCCATGTTCGCGCGGAGTGTGTGTATGTGTAGAAATGTGTGTAGGAGACGCGAGAAGGTGCTGGCGAGATTCAGTGGGCCGGATTCCTGGTGAATATCCATGCGGTGGCGACGCTGGGTAAATGGTGGCATGGGTTGGTATCAGACCTGTGTACACGCTGCTAAAACAAAATGGCTAAATCCCTTCACTTAAAAATTGCACTCAAAACGTGCAATTTTTTTTTTTTTTTTTACATTTAGTTAAAAATACGTGTCTGAACCTATTTTTTTTTAATTTGTCTTCCCTTCTCGGTCGTCTTAGGACGTACGCAGAAGATATATTCCGTTATCCCTTTTCTGTAGCCCATTTTGAGCCTGCGAGCATGCAGCAGCATTTGTTCGGGTGCTGAAAAACTCGGATAATACGATCCCAAATATATTTCCCGACACTTTGAATAATAGGTATAAGTGCTCCTGAAGATGCCCTCCGTCCTTACGCCATTTTTACATCTTTCTGTTATCGTTCGTTAAGGATAGCTTAGTTGGCCGTCCTCAGCGACCAGCCTTAACCGTACGACTGCTTGCACCAAACGTTCCACGCGGAGGGGGGGGGGGGGGGGGGGAGGGGGGGTAAGGGGGGGGGGGGGAGCGGGAGGTGGGGCTGACGAAACAGCAAGCTCTGCTACTATTCAGTTCACTGTGCATTTAGACAGTGAACTGAGATTACGAAGTTTTCTGTTTGGTTAAGTACGCAAGCACATTTCTTCATTTTTAAACGAGTCCGAAGCATGACGAATATAGTAATATAGAAGGGTGCTTCAAACATACGTCTGTGCGAACAGAACGTATTGCCAGATGGAGCTACAAACAGAGCTCTAAATTTATTCTATTTTGCTACATTTTTGTAGTGTGGTTATTTTTATGTGTATTATATGCATTCTTTCAGATGTCGTCCAGCCGCTTTACACTTATTTCGCAACTAGGCACCAACGTTCCCACAAAAAAAGGACGTGGGGCTTCATTGAGACAAAAATGACGCGACGGCAGAAATGCGGCTCTGAAAAACGGGACTTTCGCGGCCAAAACGGGACGTCTCCTGACCCTGGCCATAACGGTAATTCACAGGAGGCAGCTGCCATAGAGTTATTATAATATAAGCTAGAGGTTCAACTGGGGCTATAGTGTCTATGCGACTTCCTTGACGCAAATTGAAGCAGACAGCAACCAGCCTACTTTTGCGGTGCTCCTGTGCATTCCTATGGGAAAACGCGCGTGCATTTTGTCTCTTCGCCGGAAAATAACACGAAACGCTTTGGTTATTGGAGTCGCACCGAATAGTACGTACCTTGATTAACACCGTAAAAGTATGATTGCTTTAGTTAGCGCATTTTTCTTCATCGGTGAGCGATGTTTAACTTCGCTACATTCCAGTCCCAAACGTGTGTTCCGCAGAATGCAGGTATGTAAAAACAAGCGACGATTGAAAGCAAAATTACAGTCGAAAGGAATATAGAGTGTGTTCAAGGCTCGCCATATTTCCGGTGACGCTACTATATTGATAATATGCCAGTCCTGTCACTATATGAAAATGACCCCGTCATGCATGAGCGGATAAAAGATTCAAAACGCAGAGAATAAAATACATGGGCTATGAAAAGTGTCTCTTTGTATTGTTTTCTCTGCCGGGCAGCTTTTATCAGGCACTTGTTTTCAAAGATATCGAACGTGCGGGTGATTGTTTGAGCGTAGAACAAACATCTTCGCTCATAGCAAAAAGAATAAAGCGGTACTACTTATTTAAAGTCGAATGTATTGCGTGGCCTTCAATTTATTTTGATCGTACATGCACGGGTAGTTACTGATCCGGTGTCACCGCGTAGTTCTTGCCGTCTCGCTTAATATGCAGATGTCCTTCGTTCGTTTGGCACCACGCGCCAAATTACAGCCGCCATTGCTGACCTTCTCTTGTCTTACCGAGATGCCGAGCAACTAAAAAGGTAGTTCACGATCCTCTACAAAGGACGATGCTTTAGAAAAGGACACAGTTGAATCTAATGTGGCAATAACCTGGCCTGCAATGGTAATGATGAAGTGAAATAAACGAAATAAGAGGAAACAAAAACTGAAGGTCAGTTATGGCGGCGTTCATGCACAGCTGCTGCAAAGCGTCTATATATCCCTCATTCTGAAAAGCGCCGACGTCGTGTTCGCGCTAAGAGTGTCCGACAGTGCACATAAATACACGTACGAAGCAGTTTTAGCACCGTTTTAATGCGATAAATTTGAAAGAAAAACGCCGTAACTGACCAATTATTTCGTCGGCCTGACTGAGAAATTTTCCAAGCTACTTAGTACGTACGGATTATTTGGGATATTTGCTCTTATGATCTTATGATTTGACTGGTTGCTGTCTGCTTCAACTTGCGTCAGCACACTAGCGCTACTTCAACCTCTCGTACATTATAATAACTCTATGGTAGGTGCCAGTGCACGAGACAGCTCATGCCGGCTCATGCCGTGCTCGCGCAAACTCGCGCAAAAAGACTACACCTTTCCAAAAAAAAAAAGCTCCTGGCCAGTTCCATTTTCAGTGCTCGTACGTATGGCGCGTGATTTGATCGCTTCCCGGAGCAACGAACATGCGCTTGCTGGGCTGAGGGGATCGCACGCTGGGCTGAGGACTTGTAAATATCGGAATACCATGCATGTCGGCAGCAATGGCGCAACGAACCTGGCTGGTGACATTGGTCTATCTAAATAGGTTTGACTTACAAGTAACAGGATTAGTGTGTGTGTGTGTATGTGTGTATGTGTGTGTGCGTCCGTGCGTGCGTGCGTGCGTGCGTGGGTGGGTGGGTGGGCGGTTTGGCCATTCATTGGGAAGCATAGGAGTCAAATGAGGAGACGCCATTGACCCAAAGCGTGCTGGCGTGTTCCAGGGCGTCTTCACGAATTCGAATGTGGCCAACCAGACACCGGAAAAAATACCTAGGCAGTGGTCGCAAAAAACGAAATTAAAGAATGCGTCGGAGTAACTCTCGGTGACTGAAAATATGGTGCACGTGATGTTTCAATCACGGTCATCCAAAATCAGGGTGGAAGAGCGCGACTAGCGCAACGATCGACATAATCCGTACGTCATGCGCTGAGGGCCGGGAATCTGCCGTCCAAACGGTAACACTCTGTCCGAACAAAACAGAGTTCGTGCGACGCATTCGTTTCTTATACATCTTTCTGCATGATCATAATAGAAACATCACGTGCACCCTATTTTCAACCATCAAGGGTTACAGCATTTAACTCATACGCGCTTATTAAAACCACATATCTGTGATTAAAACCTGATTAAAACTGTTTCTCGCTCCCATCACATACATCATACAAAAGACAATCTACGAACACGAGTCACCGCAATATCCAGGGTTCGAATGCCGCGTGCCAAGGTGTCTCCTTGAACTCATTGCCATGCGGCATTCGAAGCACTCTTTTCGCGGTGTCAAGCGTTCGAATTTGTATGCAGACTGTATTTTCTATGATGTATAGGCAGTGTGACCCCGGCTTCAAGGTTTTGTTGTGAGATGCATTCCCCTTTGCCCGTCTTGTATACATCGTGGGCAGATAAACGTTACCAATGCCTGGCACAAAGCACATAGACATTCAGAAATAATTAGTAGATATGCATTTTGACCGTAAAGTGTGAAGCCAAGCGCAAACACCAAACTTTGCGTTTGTCCTTTTTGTTCTCATGCTCTCACGGCAAAATGACTATCTTACAAAGTCTATTGCCGACTTTGACCCCTAGTCTGTGGCAGGTAAACAATAGACTCTTGCACACATTTGTTGCCCTCTGCCAGTTTTTGGTTTCGCGTGGATCAAAGTGCTATCAGAAATAGTAAACTTACGCAGGATGCCGAGCTTCCACTGTAGACTGTACTCTCAAACCTGTCATCGTCGGGGGCTTAGAACAATACAGCGGCTCTCGCATTCAAGCGCATAATTCTCGGCCTTGTACAACACAACGTGACGAACGTAGAAAGAACGAAAGAGGATACCCCATAAGATTAATCGAACGTACCTCATCCTGATGGTTCATTGAAGACTCATCAAGGAGAACATGATTCACCACTATAGAGTTCGATCGACGTGTTCAGTGATAGGCGTAAATATGTTTATACTTCATGCCTTTTTTTCCCCCGGATTACCCATTTGGCGCTTCGTGGAAGTGATAGTCAGAAGCGCGATTTCCGGTGAAAACAAGGTTTACTAACTTGTGTTGTACACGTTCCGACCACGATGAAGATGGGTATACTCTGGTCACCTACAGCCGCAAAAAACGTTACCCCTTGATGGCCGCAACGCCACCCACACAGACTCAGCCACCCGCACCGCGGCTGTCGCGCCTCACGGTAATCCTCAGACCCTGTCAACCGTGTAGAATCTTAGATGAGCCCTACATCAAGCTCGACGAGGCTCTTTCATCACATTTACGCACCTCCCTGGCCCTCGTACAAGGCACCAGGACCCCCGATTTCACGACACGATTCTTAACACATATATAGTAATCAACTTGCACTCGATGTATACGATCCCGCGGTGAGGGATGCTTTCCTCAAAATCAAATCGCTTCCTATCTGTGGTAAGGAGGCTCCTTTTCAGGCCTATGAAGCAACCGGAGAGGGCCAGATACGTGGCATAATACAAAACGCCGGTGGCCTTACCCAAGAACAACTCATGGCCAGCTTGCATTGCCGCAAATGCAGAATACTTAATGCTCGCCCACTGGGTGACAACGGAACTGCTTTGGTTACTTTC